GGGGCGTGGTATCAGGGGCTGGTAGGAGCCACGCATAGCCTGTAAGGCTAGGGTGCTTGGGGAGCACCCATTATACCGGGTGACCACAGGAGTCTGGGAGAACTGCGGGGACAGAGGTCCCGAGTAGCTGTGCCCAGGGAGTCATAGGCAGCCTCCCAACTATATATATACATTCCAACAAGACGTGGCGGGCGAGAATTAGAGGGTGCCTTGGGCCGGCCTGACACGGAGCGAGGGACCTTAAGGAGCACACGGCCCTCCGCGAGGACCCTGCCGTGACAGCAAGTCTTTTAGTTTTGGAAAAAATCCAAGCCTACACGTGCGTTTCAAAGTATGTTTAAATGCTGAGTTGCTACATCAGTTCTATTTCCTGGGTTGCGGAATCTCATGTTGTAGCCTTATTAAGTAGTTGAGGTTGGGGCAATAGATTCCTCTTACTTTCCTCTTTAACACCATTCTCATGCAATCAGACCAGGCACTAACAGAGTTGGTTAGTTTATTACAGAAAAATATACCCTTTCCAAGACAAGTACTTGCTTATTCTGAAGGTTCCTGCTTAAAAGGGCAGCTTTTAGTTCTTGCTGTGGTTCTGTGTTAGACCTGCTGATTATGACTACTTAAAAGACCTACTGATTCAAAGTGAGTTTTTAAATTGCAACTTTGGGGGTGGGGACTTCATTTGTCTTTTGCTTAAAAACTAACAACTTATATCTACGAATCCTGAAGTCAGTCAGAATTCACAGACACTAGGAATGGAAGGGACCTCATAAGATCATCAAGTCCAGCCCCCTGCCCAGGGGCAGGAAGTCAGCTAGGGTCAAAGGATCCCAGCAAGATAAGCATGCAAGCACTTCTTGGATGAATCCAGAGTAGATGCCTGCACCACTTCTGGAGGGAGTCCATTCCAGGTCTTGGGGGGCTTGGACAGTAAAGACACTTTTTCTTACGTCCAGCTTAAAATAGTCTTGGAGTTTTTGACCATTGGTTCTTGTTTTTCCTTGGGGCACTCTGGCAAACAGATGTTCTCCCAGGTCCTGATGTACACACTATGTACTTACAAGCAGCTACCAGCATATGTGGTAGCAGCAGCACATGCACAAAGATCTTATGGGGAGATGGAGGGGGTAATATGGGATGAATATAAAATATTAGGCCTGTGCGAGTAGGCAGCTATTTGATTCGGCTTTAGATCCGGCCACTTCGGATGCCAGTAATCTGATCCAGAGCTCCAGTTCGGTGTCCAGCTTCGATTTGGTCGAAGCGGCTCCGAAGCTTTGGAGCCGCTTCAGAGATCTGGCCATAGAGTATAATGGGGAATCAATTAAATATCTATAACTTGGTGGTTTTTTGTCTGATTGGGATGAAACTTGCAGGGGTGGTAGCCCCTGGTGTGGCCATGAATCCTGTCAAGTTTCAAGTAGATAGCTGCAGGGGTTTGAGGGGAACTGCACCTCAAGCTGCTGACAGGCAAAACTTGTAACATAGATGACCCTGTGTGTGTTAAGAAGCAGTGGGCTGAAAACTGCAGGGGCAGTGGCCCCTGCTGAGGCCACAAAGCCTGCTAGCTGTGAAGGAGATCGGTGCAGGGGGAGTCTGGCTTCTGGGGCCCTGCACCTCTGGCTGCTAACGGGCATAACTTGTGATATAGGTGGGTGCTTGTGCGACTATCTGTCTTGGGGCACAGGGAGGTGAAATCTACTGCAGGCCTGGGTGCTGGGCCCTGCCAGGCCACGAAGCCTGCCAGCTGTGTGCGTCTCGCTGTCTGGCTTCTGGGGCACTGCACCTCTGGCTGCTAACAAACAAAACTCGTGAGGGTAGGTGACTGTGTATGTTAAGGTGCGCCCTTCCTGGCACTGAGGCCCCTGCACAACACAGCAGTGTGCCCCAGTGATGTCTCCTGCCCTACAGCCTCACGCCTGGTCCACCACTTTACATGACAACAGGTAAAATAACTTAGCTGGCTCAACACCAGTAGCATCAGCAGCAAAGGTACTCAAATAGAACTGTCACAGAGCCTTTCTTTTTATAAAAGAACTGACA